ACCCTTGGGTGAATTAGAGTTTGTGCTAAGGGGCATGTAACAAAGTAAACAAGTTACTAAAATGTCTTTATGACAGACTCAGCAAGATGGAGTTTTCCATTTAGCTACAATGAAATTTGTTATGATTACATTTCTTGCCAGGCACCAGTTGCTCATGCCTGTAATTCTAGCAACTCAGGAAACAGAGCTCAGGAGGATCATGGTTCAAAGCCAGCCCCAAGTAAATAGTTCATGAGACTCTATCTTGAAAATACCCAATAAAGGGAGCGGGGGAGATAAAGGAGAGTGATGGAGGGGGTGAATTCAAGTATAGTATATTTGATACACTGTAAGAACTTTTGTAAATGCTATAGTATACCCCCACCCAGCACAACAATAAAAAAAAGAAAATACTCAACACAAAAAAGGACTGGCAAAGTGACTCAAATGGTAGGGTGCCTACCTAGCAAGCGTGAGGCCCTAAATTCAAACCCTAGTACTACTTTTTTAAAAAAAAGATTAAATTTCTTGGACTAAAGGGAAGCAGAAAATTATCATTATAAACTTTGAACTCAGAAATGAAAAAGAAAATCTATCATTTTTGCTTTCTCTGTCTCTTCTGCTTTTTTGAGTTTCTGTTTCCTTTTAGAACAAATATTGGTATTTGATGTTGCAGAAAGGTTATTAGATACAGTGAAAAGGGACTTGAAGGTAATTAAAATACACAAGAAGGAAAAGCTTGGTTAAGACTCTTATTTCTACTAATACGAACTACACTCAGCCTTGCTTTCTATGGCATGGAAACTGGATGATTAGACAAAGACCCTGCTCCTGGACACATTTGGTCTTTACATCACACTTACGTGATTGAGGCCAATAACTGGTACTCAGGAGAAGGTCATCAAAATGTCGTGGTGACATTAGAAACATCTAGGTGATAATATTTGGATATAATCTGTGAGTGAGCAAGTGTGTAATGAGTTTCTTTGACTTGCAACAGGTGGATGAGAATTCTCTTGAATGAAGTATTGTTATCTTGGGGATAGTCTGTCACAGTACACTTTCTAGCAGTACCTTGCCATTATGGCTTAGGATCTAGAACAAAGAGAAGTCAGTTTTGTTGATCTGCAACTGTTAATGATGACAACAGAGAAATCTCCAAGAGAAATCTGACATCTTTCCTGCCCTTCCACAGTTTTTCAGAATGCACAGTTGCCACATGCCTGGAGGGAACAGTGCTGACTTACTCCCTTCTATCTAGCCACAGTTCTCAGAGGGGGAGAACAGCTACGAGCTCTGTGATGCTCCTTCACAGCAGAGCCACTGGCACCTACCCAGCAGCCTCTCTCACCTGCCTTGGCTTCTTGAAAGCCTGGTTGATATACCCTAACAACAGAGACAGGAACCAAGTAATGGTACATATCCTTCCTGGAAGCTGTGGAGGACTGGTGCCAGGATTATGCCACTAAAACCCCATATCAAGATGGGAGTGTGATTGGGAGCACTCAGAAACATGCAAGAACCTCACATACCAGATTCTAGGAAGAAGCTGCCAGTCACTTAGTTATGATGAACTTCTTGGTGTTTTGGCTGCTGCTGTTACTGCATCATTCACTTTGGTTTAGTTCCAGTTAAAGGCAGGTTATTTTGATTCAGAGTCTTTCAAGTTAGGATATCATAAACCATGTTAATGACCCAGTAAAAGCAGATCTGAACACTTTCCCCAAAATCATAGTAGCACAGGTGACAGTTTACTGGTGCTTAGTGGTGAACAAGGCAAAGGGAAATTGTCACTTTTTTCTTTTTCTGGAAACCACCTACAGCTATTCAGCCAAGTATTACTTTCTCACAGACTTCTCAAAGACATTTGTCAAAAAGATGGCATAACGTGGGAATACCACCAGAAGTACAGGCTGAGAGGAGGGTAAGATAGTATACATATCTAGGTGTTGGACATACAAAATGGGGAAGCTGTAGGATTTGTGAGTAGGTGGGAGAATAAAACTAGATGTTATTCCCCTAAGAAATCCCCAATTTAGGCTGGACACGGTGGCACATGCCTATTATCCCAACACTGGAGAGGCTAGTAAGTCATAAGACCAGCCTGGGATATATGGCCAAGACCCTGTCTCAAAAAAAGCAAACAAGAAATCCCCAATGTAGGAGCATTCTGAACACCCTTTATCCTGCAAAATTCTGATTCTTTGATTCTTTTCTACTGATTGGTTCTGTGATCCAGGGGAGATTGTTGATTGTGTTAAGCACTCACTGTTTGCAGAATATATCCATGTGGTTTGGAGAGGTTTAGAGACACAGGAACTTAAACACTACCTGCAGAGAGGCAGAGATTACACAAGTAAAATCATTTTTTCCCTAAAAGTCTTAGTTAGCGTCCCCTCAAAGCAAAACCTGAGACCGGGATTTAGAGTGCAGGGAGTTTATTCAGGAAGTAATCCTAGGAAACAAGCATGGGATTGGGAGGAGAAGGAAAAGGAGGAAAAGTCACCTCAAGAGTCATATTCAAAGCCATAGGGGTTCCACTTCACCAGAACTTCTGGCAGTCATTCATCCTCCCAGAAGTGCTTTGTGAAGAGACTGGGCTGGGCCATTTAGTCACCAGCCCCTGGCTCTAGTGAGTGTAGCCCCAGTAACATGAGCACCATGTATGCACGCACAATCAGAGGAGGCCCTGCAGCCAGAAGAGGAGCGCCCAAGGTGTGTGCTTTTGATAGGGCGTTGTCAGTGATCTCTTTCCCAGAGTTATCCTTGCAGCTGAAGCTGAAATGAGAGCTCAAGCATCTGCTACAGAAAGGTCACTGCTTCCACAGAAAAAATGTAGGGTACAACAGACAGACCACCAGAATGTCTAGTCTACCAGGTGCAGGGACTGGGGTCAACTTAGGGAAGGATTCTTGGAGGAAGTGACTTCTAAGCTGAGACAAGACTAGATGAATGAAAGGAGGAGGTAGAGGTGAACCACAAGTTTAGGGCTGTATGTTTAGCATAGATTTACAAGGGTAAAGGCTGGAGGCATGGCTCAGATTTTAGAGTGTGAGGCCCTGAGTTCAAGACCCCGTACCCACCCCCCCCAAATAAATTGTTACCAGAGATTACAGGGTAGATGTGGCAAAAGAAGATCAGGAAGAACTTCAGAAGTTAAAAAGTTAAGACTTTATTGTAAGAGCAATAAGGGATCAGAGAAGACACATTTAAGCAAAAAGCCATGATAAGCTTTGTATTTTAGAAAATTTGCTCTAAAAACAGAATGAAAATAGATGTCCAAGTAGGACCAGTGAATGAGGAGTGGAACTAAACAGAAGTCTACTTAAGAGGCTAATGAATTACGCAAGTAAAATAGTATAATAATGAGAACCAGGGCAGTAGCAATGAGGAAGGTGAGAAGTGAAAGACTTGAGACATTAAATTTCCATGTCCTCATTCATGCTCTGCTTGAGATAGAGTGTGTGGGGGTGGGTGGGTGTTTATTGATTGCTGTAGGGAGCAAGTTCCATGGAAAAGAGTATTTAGAAGATATGAATCAAAAGCTTGTAAGGAGTGATTTGGAATCATTTTAAGCCAAGTAAAATTGCTGTCAGAAAAAATTTCTCATGCAGGTTCTCATCTTGGAGACATCACAATGTATTGCACTCAGCCCAGAGAGACCTCACTTTGTCCTCCATCTGGGTTCTCTATTGGTTTGACCCTTGTTGTCTCTCTGACCTTTGTTTGTCCAGCTCAACACTAGGGTGATGATGCTTGTCCGGCCTGTTCTGAGTTGATGTTAAGCTCAGCATGTAGTGAACTTGACAAGGAGTCAGACATCCTCTAGACCAGCGTTAATAGAATTGGAATGTTTAGTCCAGTGTTTAGTATGGATGCTGGCCTGTTGATCCACCCCAGGGCACAGGTGGGGTTTCAGAATAGGTTGAGGTGATAGGAGGTCATCTCGGAGATGATCCCCTTTAGCCTGAGCCCATGGTCGGTACCCGTGGTCTCATTACAAGCTGTAGTGAGAGTCTGATGAGAAAGTACTCGGAGAGTGAGCACTCACAGCATGGAAATGTTTTCCCTTCCTGCATATGTCTATGAGGCAAAAAATAACTCCCACTTTCCTACAAAGAACAAAAGCCGTGTTCCTCCATAGTTCCTTCCCCTCATACCACCTTCTTACAAGCTGGCTGCCTTCTGTTCTTACTTTATCTTATACATGTTACACTGACTGGAAACATTTGACCTGCCAAGACTTGAATTTGGGCATATGGGGCTTCTCCCACAGCCCATGATAGCATCACCAGCAAGTAGAGCACATGCTGCACATTCCCTGCTTTCGGGGTGAGGAATGTTCTCCACCTCCTGGGAAAAACCAGGCCCCAGCTCACAGGAGTTGAAAAGCAACTGCCTTTAAAAGGCCGTTTTGCAGTACTGTGACTTCTTGCTCATCAATGATGGGAACAGGTTCTTACTCTTAAAAAAGTCCCCTGGGGCTTCAAGGCACAAAAGATGACAGTGATTCAGAGTGGTCAACACTTAACTGTACCTTGACCCTATGACGGGTACTGCTTTAGCCCTTTGCATGGAAGACATGCCACAGCCCATGAGTAAGCATTCACTGTAGATTAGGAAATGAAGGCAAATGTACTTAAATAACTAGCCTGAGTCACTCAGGCAGACATGGAATTTGGACCCAGGCATGTGACTCCAAAGCCTCGCTTGGGCTCCACCACTCTCCTCCCTCTCTGCAAGCAGAGACCTGCCACAGGGCAAACAGAGGTCTGAGGGGTGTGGGCTTCCTGTGGCAGTGCAGCATAGCAGTCAGAGATGTTAGGCAGGAAAAGCATGTTAGAATTCTGCTGTACTTACAGTGTTCTTCACACTGGGACGGAAATAACCCCAGGTACAAACATGGCTTTCATTAAAATCAGTGGCTCTAATCCAGAGAATCCTATGCCCATCTGAAAAACTGTTCATCAGGAAATCAGAGTTTTTACATGCTATGTGTTTCATGTTTTCTCTTTCCTTAGGTTAAAAAGATCAAGTGGCATGAGTAGCCTTTTGGGGAAAATTGGAGCCAAAAAGCAGAAAATGAGCACCCTTGAGAAATCCAAATTGGACTGGGAGAGCTTCAAGGAGGAAGAAGGGATTGGTGAAGAACTGGCCATCCATAATCGAGGGAAAGAGGGGTAAGAAGGAATAGACTCTATGCCTTTGATATCCTCAGAACTCTGAAATGAGCTATTTCAGACAGACTGCCCAGTTTAAGCAAGCAGGAACTTTTCAGGGCAAAATGAAAAATGTGAGTGCTTTGGTTTGTCAACGCATCTCTGTCCCAGTGTGGGGTAGGTCCCATCAGTGAGGAAACCACTGGAGGTGAAGGGAAGGAGGGCGCGTTAGCAACACTGCTCTTGGACCATCAGCTGCCAAGATGAATTTGCTGAATTACTGATGCAATGAACTGTAAGTTTCCTGGTTTATTCACACGGTTGAATCTGGCTCACAGTTGCTGCTTTGACCCTAATCTGAATCATTTGGCCTTCTGAGAAGCCAGACTACTTCAAATGCTTCAGAAGCAAACCCAACAGAGTGCCTAAGTAGCACCATGTTGTCATGAGATTTTCTTTGTCTGTGTCATTATGGGGCTTTACCTTTGGGTACAGCCTGTATGATGTACCAGGCTCTCAGACAGCATCCCAAGCCATTGCAGTGCCCCTTCCTATTCACTTTGGAATGCAAAGATGATGTCCATAAACTGTTTTCAGTTGTGAAAAGGTTTCCTTTTCATATTTGTTTTCCTGGTGAAGATATGGAAACCAGAAAAGACATGGAATTCATGACATACTTAGGAAGCTCAAGAAAAGCAAGGAATCAAGTTACTGCATAAGTTGGTCTGTACTCCAGGTCAACATTCCCCAACCTTAACAGTGGACAAAAATGTTAAAAGGCCCCTCACAACCCAGGGTGTTCACCAAGGAGGCCTCTTCCCGCACTATACTAGGTATCTCTGAGGCTCAGCTCCTTTTCCAGTAAAATTGGGATGATGGTGAAGATGGTGTGCGGATCTCATGAGATGACTTGTGCAATACGTGTAATTGCTTACATACATGTAATATGCATAAAGCAGTAGGCAGAACCCCTGTCACATAATGGTCCATATTAAGTACAGATAATCCAGGTTAGTAATAACCTAAATTACAACAAAGGCAAGTAGGGGAAGTACTTTAGGGTTAATATTTGGCTTTTGTTTTTGTTTTGTTTTTGTGGTACCAGGGCTTGAACTCAGGCCTACAACTTGAGCCACTTCACCAGCCCTTTTTGTGTTAGATATTTTCAAGATAGAGTCTCACGAACTATTTGCCCGGGCTGGATTCTAACCATGATCCTCCTGATCTCTGCCTCCTTAGGATTACAGGCATGAGCCACCAGCACCAGGAGTTATTTCTTTTTTATTTTGTTTATTTTTTTATTTACTTTTTTTTTTTGAGACGAAGTGTTGCTATGTATTCCATACTGGCCTCAGGACTGGTGGAGTGGCTCAGGTGGTAAAGTGCCTACCTAGCAAGCATAAGGTCCTGAGTTCAAATCCCACTACTTCCAAAAAAAAAAAAAAGAAATTATCCTTACTGGCCTCAAATTTGCAATCCTCCTACTTCAGCCTCCTGAGTGCTGTTTTACAGGTATTCACCACCATACCTGGCTATGGAGGTCATATTTCTAAATTAGGCCTCAATATTAACTAAATGAACCTGGAAGCCAACCCATGTTTTAAATTTTTTTATAAAAATGTAATTGATTACGAGCTTGCTTAATTGCCAGGCCAGTCTTGAGTGTCTCAAGACAGGCAGAGGAGCTAAAGCCATCTGGCAAAGGCCCAGGATAAAATGAAAGCGGGAGTCAGTGTTATCTCCTTAAGAGTGGGTGGCTGACATTTGCTGCAAACCTTTCCCCTCTAATTCAGCTCTAGTAGTTCACAGCCTCCCTCCTGTTCACTTTCACACAGGGATTTCAGACAGCAGAGGAAGTACCAGTGTATGCTATATTTTATTGATTGTGTGGTTGGACAACGTTCACTCTGCTTGAGCTAATAGAGGTCCTGTAAAAGTAAGGGGTGGCATTGTTGAAGATAAGGGAGGGTTAATAAAATATAGACTGAAGAGAAAACAAGATTAAAAGGACATCTGCCCAATGGGGGCTTCTCAGGCAATGGAAAAACACACAACTAATAGTATGCTACTTTATGTTTTGCTTTTCCCTCCTGTGTCTGAGGCTCTTCTCCCCGCATTCCCTACCCCCCACACCAGGAGACGATTCCACAGCTCTGATTGTGCTTTTCCAATGCAGATCTAGTGACTTCTGTGCTCTGCCTCAGCTCTTCTTATCAGCCTTCCTCAGTGCATACCTGCACTCAGTGCCTCTTCCCACCTCCACAGGTGGAGCAGAGGAGCCCTTCCATAGTGTAATGAAGGGACTCTAGTTCTGCTCCTTACCTTGGCAAGGCATGAAAATCCCCTTGGAAATTTTCCCAAAGTTCAGGCGGCAAGGCTATCTCTTTGTAGAGCTTCTCAGTCAAGAGTCTAGGACAGATAACTATATCTTTCAGGCACTCTTCAGGTGATGCTGATGCACAGGAATTGAGACTCACCACACCATGGGATCATAAAGGCAAAGCCAGACAAACCAATTGCTTGTGTGAGCCTTCCCAGATACATACAGCTAGGGAGCCAGATTCAAAGTAGGTGATGTTGAGACCTGTGCCTGGTGCCAGTGTTTATTAAATGTGTGGGTATAGTGAAATAGAAAGTATTTAATTTACAGGATAATGGAGGAAAATGAAATGAATTTTTAAAGTTAATCTAAAGAAGACATAAGAGGAGAGTTAGAACAGGCGGGTCAAATAAGAAGCACACAGCAAGATGACAGATTTGAGGCTAAACCTACAATGTTTTCATTACATGTAAACACTCTGTGCTCCAGGTAAGTCAGAGATTAACAGATTAAATTTTAAAAAGCAAAAAACTATTCTGTTTTAAAGAAATTTTTCTAAAATGTGGGATTCAAGAATGTTCAAAATAAAAAGATGGGAGAGAAGATGAATCACCAAAAGAAAGCTGATTCAGGACTTGGAGCGTGGCTCAAGTGGAGGCCTTGAGTTCAAACCCCAATACTGCCAAAAAGAAAAACGAAAGCTGCTGTAACCACATTAATATTAGAAAAAATGGATTTTAAGACAAAGACATCATGAGGAAGAAATAAAGAGGTTTTTTTGTTTGTTTTGTTTTGTTTTGTTTGTTTTGTTTGAGGCAGGACTCACTGTGCCTCACTGTAGTCTAGGCGATTCTCCTGCCCCAGCCTCATGAGCGCTGGAATTACAAGTGTATGTCACCTCTTCTACTTAGAAGGGAGCTTCTTCATGCTTCTTAGTGTGAGAAATACACATAGTTTACATGGGAAATACAACAAGGTAAATTGAATATACCATTTGGCATATATACTGAAGGTCCACATCATCATTCCTTGTCATTCAACAGCTCCACCGAAGTTTAGTAATACGCTCTCAAAAGCATATAAAAATGTAAGTAACAGCCCAAAGCTAGGAACAACTCAAAGGTCTGTCAGCAGTATAATAGTTAAAGAAGGCATGATCTCTTCACACAGTGAGACAGTAAAAACACAAAGGAGGAGCTAGACATGGTGGCACAAAGCTGTAATCCCAGTACTCAGGAAGCTGAGGTGGGAGGTCAGAGTGTTTGAGTCCCACATAGGCTACATTGCATGACCCTGTCTCAACAAAAAGGAAAAAAAAAGCCAGGCCCCGGTGGCTCACGCCTGTAATCGTAGCTACTTAGGAGGCTGAGATCAGGAGGATCAAGGCTTGAGGCTAGCCCAGGCAAATAGTTCCTGAAACCTCATCTCCAAAATAACCAGAGCAAAATAGACTGGATATGTGGCTCAAGCTTGGAGCACCTGAACATGAAGCCCTGAGTTCAAACCCCAGTCCCACCAAAAAAAACCCAAACACACAAAAGTATACATTCTGTATGTTTCCATTTATTTAAAGCACAAAACCCAATGTGTCCATTAGGTCAATTTGTAAAAGAAGCAAATCACAAAACAGTATATGCAGTATAATCTACTTATATCAAATTCAGAAATAGACACAGGGCTGGCAGAGTGGCTCAAGTGGTAGAGCACCTGCCTAGCAAGCATGAGGTCTTAAATTCAAATCCCAGTACCACCAAAAAAAAAAAAAAGTACAACTAAACTTTACTGTTGAAAAAGTAAAGTCTTGAAAGCAAGGGAATGAAGATGCAGGTCCGGGTGAGCTGACACCTGACTGGGCTGCCTGTGTCAGCAAGAGTTATGCAGGACCCTCCTCAAACTTGGTGGCAGCCTCAGAACTGCTTGCTCTGTAAACACTCACTTGCCTTGCACATTTTATTCACTCTTCTCTACATTTGTAAATTATTTACAATAAACAGTTCAAACCTGTCATGGGCACTAGCCTCAGCTTCATCTGTGAAGTAGAAACTCTCCTATATACCTCTCAGTATTGTTGTGGGAATTAAATAAGTCCCCTAGTCCTGTTGGCTTTTCTTTCTCCCACCTGCCATTACTAACCAAAGCTAGGTGCATTATTCCTTTAAATTCTCGCCAACTCTTCAGGCATATGTCCACGGTGGTGGGAAATAGAACTTGGGGGCGTCTTCTAGACTCCATAGCCGGCTGCTCTTCCTTCTCTGGCTTTTCATCTTGGAAACCTGGGCCATGGGCAGCTGTCTTGTCTTCCTCCCCAGGGAAGCTCACTCGTTAAAAGACTTAGCTACCATTTTCTGCTGATGACTCAAAACAGAAGATACCCATAAGACTTAGGTCTTAGCTGGTTAGCTAACATCTCCATTTGGATTTCTAAGATGCACATCAGACTTAACATCCAGACCAAATACTTACACTCTCTCCATAAACAGACTCCCTCCATCAGACTTCTCAGAAAATGCTACCAATGTTGTCTGTCCACTGTCAGAAGAAAAACCTAGGCACTGCCCTTCATTTTCTCTTTCTGTTCAAATCTCACAAGTCCAGCTGGTGCTCTGTCACAGACCATTTGAGCCCATCCTTCTTCATCTGGCCCTACCATTTACACAGGTATAAATTACATGGGTCTCCTGTTCCCTGCTTCTACCTCTGCCTCTTTATCCACTCTCCACCCAGTTGCTGAAAAATGACTGTTTGAAAATACAGACTATTTTTCATTTTCCTACTGAAAACCCCCCTATAGTACTTCTAATCCTTGTTAAACTCCTTACTCTGGCCACCCAGGCCCTCCCAAAGCCTTCACTGCCCACCTTTGTCCTTCCCCCCACTGCTTGCTGCAACCCAGCCTCACTGCCCCTCTGTAGTGCTCCTCCCCAGAAGGGCTTGATTCAGATGCTTCTCTCTAGAGGAGTTTCACCCACCTTAGTCACATCACCCTGTTTGCTCTTCTCTGTTGTTATTATCAGCTGATACATGTTTGCCTTGTTCTTCTACAGTAGGTGCCCCTGGGCAGGGTCTTATTCCCAACTCTTGTCACCAACACCTAGAATAGCCCCTCGCCCAGATAGGTGCCACACCATTGGAATGTCTAAACGCCTGTCCCACTATCTGGCAGATAATCATGGCTTTGTTTGGCAGTCTAATAAGATTAGACAAGATCGGGTATGTTCAGAGTCATATGGCTGTAACATGGCCTCAAACATTCACTAGGTACGATACATCAGAGTGTTGTCTCCAACCAGGCATCATTTTCACTGAGCAGAGTTGGTTGAAATGCCTATCCCAGAGATAGTTATCTGTCCAGCAAGGAATTGCTGCTTTCCCTCTGATCTCCAAATGCCCCCCATCCATGCAACCTTCTAGGACTGGTGTCAGCAGACTGCACTCAGGAGCTAAACATGGCTTCCTCTAGCCCTGTAACTGTTTACACAGATTTCCCTGTTGTGTTCAGCATTAGCAACACAGCTTTCTGACACTGCTGAGGCAGAGGCCGGCAGGCTTACCAAAGGGAATGATACATAGAAAAGAAGAGAAATATAGGCTTGGTCTTGGCTACTGCTGTCTGTCCAATCAAATTGAAGGTCATGGAGCTCAATGATTTGGAAACCAGGTGTTTTTTGATTTGGAGAATCATGAAGAAGGAACCAGTAAAAATAATTTTCTCCCACAAATCAATCTCCATGACCCCCAGGAGTCCGTCTTCCAGAACAAGCACAGCCTTGAGGTGATATTATATGAAAGCAGTGGGGAAGAAATAATTGAACTCACCACCCTTTTCAATCTGGCCCTCAAAATATTTGCAAGTTAGGTCCTTAGACAGGGGCATTGTCTACAATGTTGGGCAGTTTCCTTCTTTCAGTTGAATTTCTTTACGTCAGTCTCAGAGCTTTTTTCTCGTCCCAGAGTATTCCCATTGCCTCCCGCTTTGTGGTTGGTGTTGGGAAGTGAGCCTTACCACTTTTCATCCCATGTGTATGTGCATTGAATGCTCACTGGGGTAAACAACTCTGGGCTGGGCTTGAAGCAGCAAAATAATAAGACAACTCTGGGGTATCCTGTTACCTTGGCCTGCCTCAGTTTGCCCTGCACCTCATCATGCTCACACTTTTCCTCACCACAGTTTAGGAAGCCTCTGTGGGTATCCAGCCCAGGATGACCAGGTGGCAGAGCTTTTGGAAGTCAGCCCACCATTGGGTATTCCTGTTCTCAGAGCCAGTGCCTTCTTGGAGAGTGAATTACTAGACAGGAGGCACTGGCATCTTCCCTGATAGCACTCCTTCCCTTCTCTTGTCCTCTTCCATGTCTCCCTCCCTCCATATTGTCCTGGATTTTAGGAAAACTGTGGCAGAAAAGTAATTTGGGTTCAAATAGCCAAAAGATGTTAGAACCTATTGTGTTTAACCTGGTTCTGAAAGGAGAAAAATCATAGGTTCTTGATGCCATTAGCATATTTTGTTAATGAAAATAAAGAGCTGTTGCTTCTTAAATGGGCCACAACAGACAATAGTAGAGAAAAGGTGGTGCAGCCCCTCCCCCACCCACAGGCTTCCTTGTGGACTGGACTTAATCAGGCTGAGTCCCCAGGAGGGCAGGACACAGGCCAAAAGAGAACCAAGACAGAAAATGAGCATGAGTTGTGGTTCCCATCACACTTGTCAGTCAGTGTGCCTGTTCTGGGACTGTGGCCCATTTATAAAGTGCCTGAAAACTCCTGAGGCCCAGTAAAAGTAGGTGAACCCTCAGGAGGCTTTTAAGGCATCCTTCCCAGCCAGCTCTTCCTCTTCCCAGAGTCTCTGTTCCAACTGTCCTGGCTTCTGGGACTCTGTTCATGGAGCAGTCAAAATCAGAAATGAGAAGCAAGAGCCCCAGGCCAACAAAGATCTCACATAGCTAATTTTTTAGTTTTACTATTTACAAAGCACTTCTCAGTTTCATTACATTGACAGAGGGATATTGTAATTTTTATTCCTGTTTTACAGAGAAGAAAAAAACAAGACACAGGAAATTAAGTATCTTGCCCAAAAGCACAAATAGTAAACATCAAAGTCACTCTCATCCTCAGCATCTTTTCTGTCTCTTTGCAGTGGGGGAGTCCATATCCAATAGAAGGTTTGTTTATGGTCAGCCCTTGGCAGTAAACCAAGGCTGTCACAAGTATCCTCTTAGCAGCTGCCAGTGGCTATGAATGAGGGAATAAAGTCTCCAGACCTGCCTTGATGGCCTTTGGCTGGGTTGCCTTAAGAATTCAGTTGCATCCTGCACATGTGCCCCTCCTTATTGTCTGAGCCTCAGTTCTGTCTGCACCCGCCCACTTACTGCCCATCTTGGGCTCTGCTCATGGTGGTCACAAGCATAGCTGGACCTATACAGTTTCCGTGAACCTGCAAGGCTTTTGTTCATGCTTAGTGAGTATGCTCTCTTAAGTCTTTGTTTCCTAATCTTTAAAGAAAGTCAGGGAGGACTACAAATGCTCAAAGCCACACACTTCCTTGCCCTTGCCCTTGCCCTTCCTATCTCCCAGCAGGTAGTGCTGGAAGCACTCTTGAAATAGCCCTCTATTCCCCTTGCACCTATAGGCCATGACAGTATGGCCTATAGGTCTTTTATGCTGGCTCTTCACCACAGTCCATAAGAGTTAGAAGGATTCACCCCGTGTGAGCCAGTGGCTCACAACTGTAATCCTGGCTACTTGGGAGGCTGAGATCGAGAGGATCGTGGTTCAAGGCCAGCCTGGGCAAATAGTTCTTGAAACTCCCATCCCCAAAATAACCAGAGCAAAATGGGCTGGAGGTGTGGCTCAAGTGGTAGAGCGTCTTGCTTTGTGAGTCCAAAGCCCTGAGTTTTAAATCCCAGTCCCACCAAAAAAAAAAAAATTTTTTTTAGAGGATTCTTCTTTCTTTGTCTTTTCTTTTTTACATCACGTAGTAGGAAAGTGAGAATTGGTAAGTTTGTGTGGCTTCCCCAGAGTCACACAGCCAGCCACTGACAGTCAAGATTTGTATTCGGCACCCTCTGGCCTCAGAGCCATGGTCTCTGACCAGCCCTCAGTATGTAGTAATGTGGGGTTAGTGGCCACAGACTTGGCCGGCAAGCAGGTAGGATGGCCACACTTCACAGGATGCTCTTGGGACTGAAAGTGAAGCCTGAACTCAGCAAAGGACACAGGTTCCTGAACCTGGTAATGTTGTCACCATAAATGTAATAACCTTGTAGTGACAGATGCACATTTTCCACTGTGCACAAAAGAAAAATTAGCTCAGAGATTCAATTATGTCTTCCATTTTCAATAGCAATTTTATTCTCTCAGTAGATTAATTAGCAGAAATCTCCTCCTCCCAGGCAAATCGCAGCACACTTTATGGCAAGAAGGTCCATTAAAATGCAGCTGTGTTTCATTAAGCAGCCAGCCGCACTCCTCACCAACCGGCCTGCCTGCTTCAGCCCAGCCTCCCTCCCATCCTGCCTCAGAGGACAGGGAGAGCTCATTTGGCCAAGGCCCCAGAGCAGCAGCAAACCAGCCTTCTGCAGGGACCCTGTTAGTGGGCTGTGGATGCAGAGGCACTTGATCTCCTTCCTTAGAGGAATTTAGGGAAGAGCTGTCTTATCATCCTACCAGAGGCAGCCTGGCCCCAAACTGAGTGCAGGATAAGGCAAAGAGAAGGACAGGAGAAGGAAAAAACTAAAGAATATTAAATAGCTTCTAAAAGCATGCTTCATCAACCTCAGCTCGCCTCATGAGCAGTGCTTGGGGCTCGTTTTTCTATCCTATTCCATTCTCACATGCACCTCTTTTGTATTTCAAGGTATGCACAGGATGCATAGCTTTCTTCATCCACCAAATCAACACACCACCAAGGCCAGGAAATAGGGCATCACCCTGTTGCTGAGGAGAAAAATAAGACTCAGAGCTCAGTCTTCAACCAGCATGCTCAGCTGGCTAGCATTTAACTAAGCTGGCATTGTTTCTTTGCTTAAAGTCTTGTTACAGAAGTGAATGTTTTCTTGCTGCCAAACCCCTCATGTACTTTCCATTTGATATGTTGGGGCCTTGTCCTTTCTACTTGATTTTCATTCACATCTGATACAGAATCGTCCTTTCGTAAGCCAAGTGGGAGTGGCTTGGATGTTAGTGACAGGGTCTGGGGTAGTCATTGTGGGCACCAGCTGGGCTCATCTGCTTGCAGTTACTGTAGCCTGGTTTATCCCTGAGGGTTGGGACAGTGCAGGAGAGGCCCTAACTCCTGCTGGATTCTGCTGACACTTTCTTCATCTTTTTCCAGGTACATTGAACGGAAAGCTTTTCTAGACCGAGTGGACCACAGGCAGTTTGAAATTGAGCGGGATCTCAGGCTAAGCAAAATGAAACCTTGATGTTCTGAGGATGCTCAGTAGCAGCTCAATCCTGTTGACAATGTGAACTTTTTGTGTGTGTGTGAAACATTTCCAGTGTTCCTCATCCTGTTTGCCAGCAAGGCCTTTTTTTCTACATTGAAGTTCCATCTCTGTATCTTGATCTCATGTGATTTCATTCATTTTACTTTCAAAAGTTCGTCCTTAAATAAAAGTCAGACCTCTACGAGGCTGGTGAAGATAAAGATGTCACTCATCTTTCCTTTACTCTGCTGCAAAGTCTGACCCAGGTCCACCCAGCACATCTCAGACCTGTCCCAGGTGGCAGAGGTCCAGTCAGCCATGGAGGAGAGAGCTGACCATCCTGCATGTGAGTTTTCTGGGCCGTAGGTGTTCTCTGGCATCAGCTCTGTCCCTGAGACCTAGGGAAGGAGGCTTACTGGGGTAAGTGAGCACCAGCCCCTGGGCATTTGCTCTCAAGTCACCCCAGCTTCTCTCCTGCTCTCTTTCTCCTGTATGAGATCCTACTAATATGTAAGGCTAGAGCTTGCGGTATATTGTTGTCAAAGACGGTGTTTTTCTTCCAACCTTTTTTTTCTGTTCACAAAGAAAATTGTGCTTACGATGTGTTCTCACCTGAGTAATTCTTTTGTCAAAGATATTCTGGGCTTCGTGGTGCTTACCACAGGCTGTGTTCTTACAGTGACTATATACATAAAGAGGAGGAAAAGTAAAAGTCAACTCAACTCAGGCCCCGTGCCTGGTCTGTATTGTGAATGGGAAGACATGGGGTAGGAGAAAGGAAAAAAAAGAATATTCTGTTCCTAGGGCTAGGAGGGTGGCTCAGGGGTAGAGTGCTTGCCTGGCATGTACAAGGCTCTCGGTTCAACCCCCAGCACTGCCCAATACCCCTAAAAAGTGTGTGTGTATGTGTGTGTTTGTATCCTAAAGGACATTTTATTTTATGAAAATTTAAATTCCAAACTTCCTAATTCTCAGAGTAAGATATTCTCTGGGAAGCAGCAAGGAGGAGGGTAAGGATCAAATCTTTGGTGAAGAGGGAAGTGGAGGTAGAGGCCATTCGCGATAATAAAGCATTGAAGTCCACAAACTGTTCCTTGGGCTGGGGGTCCAAGGTGAAGGTAGGGTTCCAAAGACGGGGTTCTTTTTCCTGCCCAGATACCCAGCTCTGTGAAACTGACATAGGTCATTTTTCTGGCCTCAGGTTTCTGACCTGAGTGGCATTAGTCATAGCATTGGCGCAAAGGATTGAAGCGAGCGGATGTGCCTAAGGCAGGTGAGCACTAGCTCATGGCCGGTCTCCCCATCCATGCCTCTGATGTGTGGTCAGTGTTCCTAGCATCCAACGTGATTGTCAACACTGTAAGATTTGGGCTGTTATTACCCAGAAGCGACATTTGATGTTACGTGGATAAAGGATTCCAGATGTGATAATAGAGCATTTCAGGTCAGATGCAGAGCAAGTGGCATGTGAGGTCTCATTTGTGTTCCTGGACTGGGACACAGGAAGACCAGAGAAAAATCCTTTAACCTAAATTCAGCGAGAATTTTGGTCAGGGTAGAACCTCCAGACCACAGGAGGTACCAGGTAAGGCTCCAGGTGAAAGCCCCATCTGTGGTGCTGCCCAGTGCATTACCCACTGGCCAGTGCCGTTGGGATGACCATTTCCCTAACTGAGTTCTGTGTGCCTTCAGCATTCCATTTCACACAGCCTTCATCTTAGCACCAGAATATCAACAACACATGAGCAGGCCCCTCTCCCTGTTTAAAAATGATCTAGAATCCTGTAGAATAAATGGCATTGAGCTCATGATAAACTAGAGTCTTTCCTTTCAGCAAATATTCACATCTTTGAAGCCTGAGCGATCAGGATGAAAGTTGCAGGAACAGGTGGATTCCCCACACAGGTGAGTTGCCTCTTCTGGCTTTGCTCCAAGGCATGGAGAGTAAAGTCCAGTACATCAGTGAGAATCACAGCTATGTGCCTGGGCTCTGCCTGCCTCATTCCAGGTCCAGCCCTCGCACAGTCTTCACCTCCCTGCATTCAATGAATGTCATAGCTCTGCAGAAAGGTTGGTTCCTTTCTGCTGTCTCTTGATTGGGTACATCTTTTCCCAGCAGGTTTGCTGCACACATCTGACTTCATGCAATGACCCTTTACCCGTCTGTGAGTCTTCTGACCTGTCCCTGTAGTCTAGTCTCTTTTGACAGAATCTAACCATCTGTCAGGGAATGTGTAGATGTTTGCTTTGTTTTGTCACGATGCCCTTCCTCCCAGTTGTCCCCATTGTCACATCCTAAACTATGTCATTTGCCTTGATTCTAGCTGTCTCCCTCTTGACCCACATGGAACCTCTCTAAAACCTCCTGTAGAACTGGTGGAGTGGCTCAAATTGTAGAGTGCCTTTCTAGCAAGTGTGAAGCCCTGAGTTCAAACCCTAGTCCCACCAGAAAAAGAATTTACCAAAAAAGCCTCCTGTACTGAACACAGTTGGGCCCATTAGTGAAGTACCTCCCCTGTATGACACAGGTGCATGTAAGACTTCATGTACACAAGTATATCAGCCTCCAGGCAGACCTGGGTCATATCTGGGTCATCACTCAGCCCAGCTGCAGGAGAGGTTGAAAAAGTGTGTGTGTAGCATTTCCTTATTGTAGAAGACAGGCTGAGAAGGAGGAGCCTGGACTAGGTGATAGGTCAGCCAAGTAGCACACTTAGTACTTGTCATAAACCATCAGCCTTCTCTTCATTTGTTCTTTAAAATTGTCCCAGGGGAACATGTGGATTAGAGATGAAATAAGATGGGTCCTGTGTTGGTAAGTGTTGAAGCTGGAGAGGAGTGCATTCGGTCCAGTATGCCATTCTCTGCTTTTATATAGATTTGAATTTTTCATTAAAAGAAAAAGCATGTTTTTAAAATTGTCCTAGAGAGTCAGAATTGAGTTCTATGTAAGAAAGGACTTTGAAGTGCTCTGAGCTGGGCCATAAAAATGTAGGCAGCCTCATAGAGCCTCGCCTCCCAACCCTGCAGGCCTGGCAGTAGCAGGGATATAGGAGAGGGATTCACTTGTCTTAAGAGGAGATCCTGTGCTTGTCTTAAAACAATGGAACCAAGCTTTGCAGATTCTGGGTCATCTTATCTTCCCACATCTTAAATCACCTATTCTGACCTCTTCTGTTCAGTCCTTACTGTGAAAGATCAAGTTTGAGGAACAGAGGAACTGGCCACCAAGACAGATTCCTTGAGTTGGGTATGAGCAGCTGTTCTCTAAATAAGTGACTGGTTCTCATAGGTGAAAATCCGGCTCCAGAAGCCAGTCCTGCTTAGCCACCCACAGTGGGCTGAGTACTGTGGCTACAGATTGGAATGCTTCAGTACCAGCCAGTGACCCAGGCAGAGAACTAAGCTTCCTCTTGGTCATGAGTGTTCCCGCATGGGTCCACAGTGCCATTGGTGGGACTGCTTTCTCAAGTTACATCGCCATCTGTTCCAACCTCTTCTTACCTCAAGGACCTGAGCTGTCTCGACAAATATCTGGCCTTCCTCAGTGGGCCCACCCAAACAATTCTTCATTTTTAATCAAGAATTCCCTTTTTCTCGGGTGATGGTGGTACGCATCTGTAATCCTAGCTACTCAGGAGGTAGAGACCAGGAAGATCATGGTTCAAGGCCAGGCTAGGCAAATAGTCTGTGTGAGACCCTATCTCAAAAATACCCAACACAAAACAGGGCTGGCAGAATGGCTCAAGTTGTAGAGTGCCTGCCTTGCAAGTGTGAGACCCTGAGTTAAAGCCCCAGTACTGGAAGAAAAAAAAAAAATCACCTTTTGGCCGTATGCTGCTGGGCTCACACCTACAATCTTAGCTACTTGAGAGGCTGAGATCAGGAGGATCATGGCTCGAAGCCAGCCTGAACAAATAGTTGGAGAGAAAATGGACTGGAAATGTGGCTCCAGCAGTAGAGCACCTGCTTTGCAAGCACAATGCCCTGCGTTCAAACCCTAGTACCACCAAAAAAAAAAAAAAAAATAGCCTTTTGGGAAGCAGAGGGTGTGACTCAGTGATAGAGTGCTTGCTTGGCATGTACAAGACCCTGGGTTTCATCCCCATCCAGCCCTTCAGGGGAAAAAAAACCACCTTTTTCATCAGTCTTATTTGAACCATGGCAGACATTATCTAGCTCACAGTTTATAAGAAAAATGAATAATATTTTATCTAGCTCATCATTTCCACATTACTGAAAACTAGCTCCCAAAGGAAATGATGTCCTTTTATCCAGGAGTTGGGAATTGTCAAGGAAATGTTTGCAGGAAGTGGAAAGAATGAGTCAGGGCTCGGAGGCAGTTTGGCAGCCTTCTGTTAGGTCCAGTGCTCTGCCCTCATAGTGGCCTCTGACGAGACCCATGCAACGACACTTCTCAGCTGGCCCTGCAGAGTCCAGAGACTCCCCCAGAGTTGTTTCTTGGCCTTGTGTTGCCATCAGTCCTTTGTCTTCTCCTTGTGCCAGATGGATGTGTCCAATTTCTAGAGCATCTGGTACCTTCTCATTGTTGAAAAAAACTTCAGTAACCGTAAAACAGTATAAGGTCAAAGGATTTTTAAAAAGCTGTTCTCAGCTCACCTATTTCCTGAGGAACACGGTGCTCTAATTAGGAACTCTGAATGAGGCCTCTAGGGACTAAAGGGGACATATTAAGAACTTACCCCTGCCAGATACCAGTGGCTCACGCCTGTAATCCTAGCTACTCAAGAGGCAGTGATCAGGAGGATTGAGGTTCAAAGCCAGCCTGGATAAATAGTTCACGAGACCCTAGCTCAAAAAAAAAAAAAAAAATCTCAAAAAAGGGCTGTTTGATTGGCTTAAGGTGTAGGTCCGCAAAAAAAACAAAACCTAAACTTTGAGTGAGCTGTACACTGTTGAAACTTAGAGGAACTGGAGTAAGGACCCTGGCCCACCTAGCCAGGAGCCTGTCTTCATGAGATCTGTGCACAAAGATTAGCTGAGTGATTGGCAAGCACAGCAGGAGGACCAGACCACCTCTAAAGAAGGAGTAGAATGGTAGAAGGCCAGGTGCCAGGCTCTCCAGGTCCTATACTTTGTAGTGGCACTAGTGAATAGATAGTGTGGTTGGTGTGGCAAGATGGAGTGTGTGATTTGATGTTTATGTGGCTTTGTTGGTGTGGTCTGGCAAGGTAGAACATGGTGGAAAGGACCTAGAATAGGCTTGGAGAATGCAGTCTTCTGCCTTTTGGTATTAGTCCCTTGTCAGAGCTGCAAGTGGTCAGGCATTATGGCAAAACTCCTGACCTGTAGTTCCAACACTCAAAAGTGAACAAACAGGAAGTGATAGAAGGATGATGGACTGCATGGGAAAGGACCAGAAGCTCCTGGCATCATCTACAAATGTCAGTGGTCCCATAGGCCAGTGCTTTCTCCCTTGCTGTTAGAGTCTCCCCACTTTCCAGAGAAGGAAACTTGCTTGAGGTCTTCGGGGAATCAACAAGGCACACACATGATACACAGCAGGGCACAAAGTGAAAGGGGCAAGATGAGCGGCTCTTCAGTACCTTCGGTTCCCACCACAGTGCTGGGCAATTCCTGCTGGTGCAGAAAGACTGGAGTGCCAGGGGACAGAGGAACCTCCAGATGCTGGCAGTTGAAGCAAAGTTGATAGCACACTGGCCACAACCTCCAGTCCTGCCCAGTTAGGGCAGCATCTGAAGCTCTTTCTGCAGGGGAGGTGCACTTATGACAGGCCCTCCTGAACACCATTGGCCTCAGCTGGGGCCAGGTGTCACTCACATGTGAGCTATGCTCCATGACCAAGCTTCTGTGCTAAGCAAGGATAGGGTGCCATCCTCTCCACTTTG